TAAAAATACAGTGTTACAAAAAATAATTCTTTCTAAAAAAAAAAGAAAACTAAATGCTTATCTTTCAAGAAATTGCCTCTGAGGAATTTTCGGGAGATTACAAATATCTAACCATATAATCTTATCTTGTGTTGGGTATATGTAAGGTATAAACTTGATTGATATATATATATATATCAAACTTCCTCGTTGTTTCTTATAATCCTCGACAGAAAAAGAACTAATAAATTTTGATTTGATGTTTTTTTTTTGTCGAACCAAAATTTTAATTGGTAGTTTTAATGGTAATTTCTTAGTCAGTTACGGTAAAAAGTATCATGGTGTCTAGACACTAAAGTTGTATGTATTTATAATTCAACTTCGACTCGTAAAATTTGGTAATATGTAGATGATAACATGTAGCCTATTAACTTATGTTTTTTTAATAAAGTTCAATATATAGTTTATATTAATTAATATTGACGTTATATCACTTCTCGGATTTAGTTTCGCATAAACAAGGTGGGAAAAAAAAACCAGCAATTTAAGGCAAAAGAACTTCACCGGGGACACAAGTGGATAAATGAGATATCATTTGCATAGATAGCTTCGTTATACTCCTAGGTCTACGTATATTTTTAGTTCTTTTTCCTTAAATTGGTCTATATATATCTTTAGCTGATTATTGATAAATAAACCAATATTAATGTAAGCTGATTCTTGGTAAAAAAATAAACACCACCAGTCACCAGTCTATTTTGTAAATGTGAAATAGTTCTATATTAGGGTTGTCATTGTTGGGCTTCAAATTTGATGACTTATGATAATACTATAAGTCTTGAAACAATAAATATGCATCGCTATTTGATATTATCACGTCCTGTGAATAATTAAAGTTGAGTTTGACTGTTGATGAGAAGAAAATAAGCACTGTTTTCATAACATTTCTTAAACTCCAATGAATCTGCATATACTTATGAATGTATAGGCTATCTTATAAGCGATCAATAACAAATCGTTGAAAAAGCTATATCTATGACATAGTTAACACGTGGTTGAAAATATTAGTTCAT